CAATAGAAAACACTATATACTGTGTTCTATCTCATTCTTTTTTCTTTCTATTTCATTCTCGTGTATATATATATATATCGCTTAATCCTAATCCTTTTCGTTTCACCGCGTCTCAAATCACAAAATAAAAAATCACTATTTTTTCATTATTTTGACTTTATGTAGGTTCAATCATTTTTCTGCACAGCACGATCACATTTAAGAATCACATTTAGCAGACTGATATTTTTTAAATAATTACATAACAATTAGTACACTATCTAGCGTTACTTTTGTGTAATTGGTAAGGAGGAAAATTGCAACTCGTGTCGTTCGAAGAATAATGTCCATTATGGTGGTAGTTACGTATTGCTATTTACAAAGAATTTTATTCTATAACACATATACACTTATTTCCCCTGGTAAGCTTTCTCAGTCACGTCGTTAGCATAAACGGCGCATTCTTAAAATTTTACTAAATCACGACATCAAAAATTACACCAACTTTTTTTTTATTACAACACTAAAGAGTTTATAATCATTACGTTTTACAGTTTACAGTTTAAAAATTATCAATTCCCCTATTATCTATACATTTTTTATCTGTGATGCATATGTAGGTTAATACCTATATCACCAATCAACATATTACTAATGCTTACATCGATAAAAGAAACAAAAAAATAAAACTATTTATTTGCATTGGCCTATATTTAAAAAATATCGGAAATTCGCCAGATTAATTCATAAATTGTTACGTCAATAATTTTCATAGTTTATCTAATTTTGATGCACATATTAAGGATTCAATACATATGAGAATAAGGGGTGTATTACTTTTAACTATGCAACTTGATTTACGAATAAATGTGTGGTTATGAAAAAACAATAAACAAAAAATATTAAAGGAAGTGAATTTACTTTGGTAAAATACATTATTTCTAAAGACCCTGATCGACAGGCGAGCCATAAGCCTTCGGTAAAGATTACAGCGGTTTTACTCGCGGCTCACTTTACACTGGCGAATTTAACAGTTATTCTTTATAGTTTTTTGAAACAATGTGCCAAATTATCTCGATGTTTGACAAACTATAACCGTGAGTTTTACACGGAATTTTTGCTACGCACGACCACATTGTGGAATTTAATGTCGCCAGCAGTTTTCTCAGATCCATATTATAAAGACCTTCACGATCTACTCCTTTTTAAAAGATCGGAAACGGTGATACAGATGTTCATGGGCGACGGTGATCACTTACCATCAAGTGTGCCGTATTTTCCTTTACCATTTCTTTTAAATAAATCATACAACTCTGGCGACTCATAAAACCGCGATTTTGTGTAGATCCACCAACTAACTTTACCTGCGAGGCACTAAGAGCGTGGTAAAGTTGGCCCGTCAATCAGGGATTACTACCTAAAAGTTATACAAATAAACCAACAAAGTTATATAAACAAATTCAACAAAAACCCTATATACAATAAGATTCTATTTCGAGGTATTTTATCTAAGCAAAGAGGGTATCTTAAAATATTTTAATAAGGAAAAATTTATAAAAACAACATTCACGATACACTGCAAATATTCAAAAGATTAAAATTAATTGATATATGTATAAGCTTCTACACACTTTTCCATCACCAAGATGTTTAAACTGTTTACGAAATCAACAAGTTATAAAAACAGCTAAATTGTTGATTTCGTAAAAACTGCTACAGCAGCTCTCAAACAATTAATGTTTTATGCATTGAGCTATTATGTACTACGTACTAGAGGAGACACTGCATTCAGCTACTCTGTTCCACTCAACTGCGGTGCATGCACCGCACTTTTATCAGTCGCTCGCTAGGCGCTTGTAGAGTTGTCACATGTTGTGTTAATTTTAAAAAAATCTCTTGATAAAAATATGCAGTCTTGTGTACTTAGGTATTGCACAAATAATTCAAGAAATGTCAGTAAAAACCAAGGAATTACTTTTCATCGGTTAATAAGATACTTAATCAATAAAAAAGTTAAAATTATAAATTAATAATAAAACAAATTATTCCTAAAAAGCCATCTCGTATCATGGATTATAGATTATGAAATTAATATGTTCAGATGCGACATTTCTGTGGGTACTTAAGTATAGGACGAATATATTTATTATACACATTTTTTGTGGAAACATATATGTTATTATAATTAGGCTAAATTTTTCATGTTTAAATCTGCTTATTATTCTTTTATTTAATTTTTAGGTTTCCACTTCAAAGTCAAAGTGGAATAAATTCGTCCAATTTTAACTCTCGCGTGCCCAGCATTATGAACTATTATTTACAACATTTCTGATTCTAATTTAAATAAATATATTTGTGATTTAAATTTTATGTTAATAAGTTTTGTTGAACATACATTTAGTACTTTTTTTATACGTGACATAGATACCTTTTAAAATATTCGGATAAAATTATCATTAAAATGTAATTGTGATATATAAATATTATGTAATATTATATTAAATAAACAAATATAATATGCAAAATAAATGACAAAATTTAAATATTGTTCTCGATATAATTTACCTATTTAACAATGCAATCTACTATTACCTACGGATCATTCTACATATGTTTATTCTATGATAAGAAAACCAATTGCACGAACACAGAGTAGCGCACATTTTTTGTTTGAGATAGCTGTTCTAGTACGTAAGTACATATTACTTCAATGGTTTTATGCCTTTTTAAGTTTATTGTCGACCGTTTTATAATAAGAATAGCATAACATTACCAATTTATATTAGAGATTGTTGTTACTTGGTGAAACCGGTCACCGGTTTCATTTGTCCTGATGATGCCGTGATGCAAAACCAGCCGGTTTCGCCTAGTACGTACTTACTCGTGTACTAGTAAATAAACGAAAATTAAAGTATCAAAAACACAACTCGATCGTGTTTTTTTTATATAGAATAAGGGTGAACAAACTTGCACACAGTCCATCTGATGGTAGGTGGATGCTGTGGCTCATAGACATCTACATTTATCTGCAATTAAGAATCAAAATGTATATACGTTACCACCCCTGAGGACTAAGATGGAATGCCTCGTTTCCACTAAAAAGGGTCTCCTGTTCTCTATACTCACCATACGAAACACAACAACATTAAGCTGCTATTGTTATTGTATGCAGAAATGTAATAACCCACAACACATAGTTATTTAGATCTGAAAGATAAATGCATTTTTCTTGTGGCAGAAGGCCCAATTATATCATTTTTATTTCCAATCTAACAATGTATATCATTTAAAAAATTGTAGATTACTTGTTATTTTTACGTGGAAATAAACTCAAAAAAGCCTCTGGGTCATAATTTGGTCGGTTTGTGGATTGTGTCATTTACAAGTATATTTTTAAATATAGTTCACTATGGTGTTTACTTCTGAAACTCCACTGTAAAATTTCTATTTAAAATATCTCGAATTATAAATCTTTCCTTGATATTTTAACATAATTTTTGCTTATGAAAATAAAATGTATATAGATTTTAATACAATCAAAATATCAATTCTTTTAATACAATTGAAACTTTTTTAGAGCAGCCAAAACAACCATTCTATAGAAATTGTAATACAAATAATTTGAATTTGACTATTTTGTCTGTTCGGCGAGAGTTGATAAAAAGCAAGGTTTTTCTAAACTCATTACAAATCGCGGGCCGCTATTTATTTTTGCTGATAGATGACAATATAGCCGCCGCGTCGATCTTGTGAGGACTTGACAACCGCTGCGAGCTTCGTACCACAAAACAGTTTTCTTGCGGTGGTAAGCGACGCCCGTCACATAGATTGCAATACTTAGGCGACTGTCGCTATTGTGAGACGTTTTCTTAATATTTATTTACTTTCGCCGAACAGACTGGTTTATATATATACACATATACATATATATATATATATATATATATATATATATATATATATATATATATATATATATATATATATATATATATATATAGTACCCGGATGACCGAGCTTTGCTCGGTTTTTTAAGTTACATTTATATACAAATTACATGATCTTATTGACATAATAGAAAAATCTGAACTGGTTATTTGAATAAAAAATCATGAGTGCAATTAGTTTAATTAAAATTTTAGTATTTTTAAAAAATACTAAAAATAGGGCTCGAAATAATAGATTTTCTCACAAAAGAAGGGAACTTGAAAAAAAAAAGGAAATAAAGTCGGACCCAAGACGGGACGCGAACCACGGAACTCCGATATCACGCCCGAACAACATCCCATCTGAGCTATTACGATCGTTGGTAACCTGTCAAAATTTACCTTCTTATATTGTAGCAGTTTTTTTTATTGCCTGAAAACACGGACAAAAGGACATTTTCTAAAAATAAATCCTAGCTAGATCGATTTATTGCCCCCGAAACTCCCTGGACACTAAATTTTATGAAAAGCGTTGGAGCCGTTTCCGAGATTCCGATTATTTATATATATATATATATATATATATATATATATATATATATATATAAGAATTGCTCGTTTAAAGGTATTCAAAAGATATATACATATATATTAACACGTAGGTCATTATTAATAGAAACAAAAATATATTTGAAAAATATTTTTAAATTTATATTTTATTAGCAGTGACCACCACAAAGCTAGCTAACTGTTCGAACACTTACAAATTCTCTCTTAAATCTGTGGACTAAAATGGAATACTTCGTACCAGACACTGATAAGTCTTTGTTTTTTTTTTAATATCAATAAAAATATTAAATGGAGTAAAAAAATAACAGAGAAATAATATTCCTTTGTACATACACAATATATAAAAACAAATAATTAATTATATATACAAATTAACATTTAAATATTTTAACAAAAAGTTCTTTATCTGTCAACGTCAATGTCATTCATTACACACGCACATTCCCGCCAAAATTATACCGCACATACTTAGCAATTAGTTGAAAATTGCAATAATATAAAGCGTTCAGATGTCACCGATGAGCTTCATGTGCTGGAATGTAAAAAAAAAATTATGATTATGTTTTTATCATAATGTTTTTTATAAGGGTGACAAAGTAGAACACAATCCACATGATAAGCGAATGTTGGGGCCCATAGATATCTACAACAATCTTCAACAAAGAATCGAAATGTATGTTACCCCTGAGGACTAATATAGAATGCCTCGTTGCCCGTAAAAAAAGGTCTTCAGTTCTCTACACTCACCATACAAAACACAGCAGCATTAGACTACTATTTTACGCTGGTATTCTGTAAGAGCGTGGTCCTTTCCCGATCGAGTCGACCCATTAAAGGAATAACCATGGTTTCCTATGCCTATTCAAAATTCAAAAACTTTATTAAACCAAGTTAGTTTAAAAAGGGTTATTATAATATATATAGATGACAATAATGAGGTGATGGCTACTAAGCTATTTGTCATTATTTGTTTTGTGTTGTTAATAGTGTAACATGATTCTAAGGTGTTTTTTTCTTTCGTTTTAGAAGTCCCGCGGGTTTCTTGATCGTTCTTCCCAAGATAGAGGATTTTTCCCATCCAAAGGTAAATAAAATAAAAGAGTGTCCTACAATAACTATTATTTATAATCTATATTGAATAAAAATGTTTCTGTTTCTATTAGCTCCAGCATGGCTCTACCACATATAAAAAATCACTATCATGTAAAAAGTTGTTACTACAATAGAATAAATTAGACAATAAGCAATAATGGTGGTTAATATAGCGCATAGCGCCATATTATAGCGCGCTATCTCTTCATAACACATAGCGCGTGTTATTTATTGTTTTGCGCTATTGCGCTATGGCGCTTTGGCGCTATCAAGTATTAATATCTAGCGGCAATTAGTAGACGCGCTCACCGGCCTCCTACACGTTTTCTTATAAATAGCGCGCTATAACACAAATCCCTAGAAATTTATAGTTTATAGTCTGTAGCGTGCTATTTATTTATAGTAGTTTTGAACAACTTTAATAAGCGAACAGAATCTATATTAAAAAATTTAAAACTGTTTATTATCATTAACAACATAATATATGTACAATAACATAGTTTAACTGTCATTGGCTCGGTGGAAGGTGTAGGAACATGGCCATGTTCATCTAACATGGCAAAGAGGATAACCTCATTGGAGTTACCTAAATCCCCTCATGCACATCCCGCTCCATGATAATGAGAAAAATATATATTGATATCAGAATTAAATAATAAATTAACATTTAACTGCCTAGTAAGTATAATAAAATCACAGTTTTAAGATAGTCTAACAGTTGTGAAACGCATTTAATGTCAGCAGGCGATAACGTCGCCTTCGTGATCTTTGATAAGATGCTTGTGTCCAGAAGCTACGCTTTTTCAAAACTGAACATTTAATTTACAAAAATTTTAATATATTACATTAATGAAATTGTGTGTGTATGTTGGATTTATATGATATCTATATGGGCAACAAGTAGATATAAGGAAGACTTACATAATCTCTAAGCTGCTGTCACTGTTCTTCGTCGCCTGTTCTCCTTCGCTGGAGTTAGAGCCTCCACTCTCCGATCTCTGGCTGCGACTTCTGTGCGTCTTCTTCTTCTCTTCCGCGACCACGTCTGTGGAAGTCGCCTCCTGGGCCTGTCGCTGCCACGCAGGTATCGATGGAACTTCATTTCTACTTTTCAGTGCAGGGAATTGGTTTCTGTAAAGAGTAAAAATCGAGGGTCATTCATATATTTTATTGCCTGCCTACGCACATATTCGTAAGGGTGGATCGATCGGTAGGCAAAAACGTTGTTGCCCATAAATTACATTCAATTTGGGATAATTTCAAATAAAAGTAGTAGCCTTATTTACTCTTATTTTCAAAAACTGCAATAACGATATATCATTATTTATATATTTGAACTTAAGTTTTTTTTGGTTACTTTTTTATAAAGTATTAAATTTGATACTTTCGTTCAGATTATTGAGCACTACAGCCATAAATTTATTAATAATAATCAATTGATTTTCTCTAAAAATAACCGCAAATGTTTGGCCTTGCCATCGAGCATTACATTTCTAGATGTAACTGTTGTTCTAGATGTAACACCTGCGGTTTAAAAAAAGTATGGTGACTAGCGTAGCCAGTAGCTCAAAAAATATGTCTACTTCATGCAAATTCTAAATCGGTACTAAACTCATTTTTTGATTGTCACATTACCGAGTTATAACTAATTACATTCCGGAAGGATGATTTTCATTAAGTTAAATATTCATTAAAGTTACAAAAACACTTAAAATAAATTATATTTTGAGTTACTAATTGTGTTCAAATGTTGATGGGAGTACGGAAAGGGATGGGTTGGCTTCAAAGATTAGTTAGCTGACCTTGAATAGTTTACTACCTAGTGCGTGGGCCCACGATCAACTGGTTTCTTATTATGAGAGAGATAAACAATGAGATAGACGATAGAGTAAGAGAGATATAGATAGAGTAAGAGAGATGAAAAGGAAGCCTCCTTAAGTTTTTTGTTTAGTCCGTGTTTCGATGCTCTCGATGTCTGACGTACGTATTTCGGTTCTCATGGCTTATCTTCTATTTACCACTCGGTAACTATTTGTATTCTGTATTACGACTGAACTGTTATTTAGTGATATTTACAACTACTCGTCAGCTGCGGGTCTTTATCGGGAGAGATACCCAAATGTGTGCCCCTCTGAATACCACTTGTTTATTAGAATGCACAGCACCTTCCCAGAAGGAAGAATGCCTGGATATGGTGTCCGTCGTTTCGGACAAGGAAGAAGACCCCAGTGCACTTCACTAGGACTACATTGAACATATTATGCTCAATGACATTGAGGAAGATCCTTCCATTTCAACTATGGCAATAGCAAGACGGGAAGGCATTAGTAAGTCAACTGTGTATAAATCAAAAGTTAAGCCAAGGGAATCGAAATATGCACATCTGATAGGTATCGAGAGTATCGAAACACGGTTCACAGACTAAACAAAAATCAAGAAACTTAAGGACGCTTCCTAAAGGAAAAAGAGTAAGAGGGATAGATGTAAACATCTATCCCTCTTACTCTATCGACTATCTCATTGTTTATCTCTCTCACAATAAGAAACCGTTGACTGTCTACCAACGCACCAGGTAAGAGACTATTCAAGATCAGCTTTCTATGCTTGAGGCCTGCCTGTCCCTTTCCGAACTCCCATCAACATTTGAACACAATTAGTAACTCGAAATGTTATTGTAAGTAATTTTTGTAACTTAAATGATTATTAAACTTTGTGAAAATCATCCTTCCGGAATGTAAATAGCAATAACTCGGTAATCTGACAACAAAAAATTGAGTTTAGTACCGTTATAAATCTGCATAAAGTAGGCATGTTTTTAAGCTATTGACCACCATAATCACCATATGTTTTTTATACCACAGGTGCTCAAACCTCGTCATTGTAAAATCGAAAATTCAAATTTTGTATTTTTAAAGTATTAAAAAAAACAGTTACCGTTGGAAATGTTTTGTAATGTGCAATGGCAAGTTAATTAATACATTTGTACTCAATAATCTGAACGGAAGTATCAAACTTCTTACTTTTTATTTCATTTTTTCTAAGTGGCCGTGGTACCCCCCACTAGGTCCTGCGGAGTTATCCATTAATTACTGGATACCTGTATAGTAAGTTCATAAGACAGATGTTCCGTAGAATTATTGAATACTCTATTTTGTAATTGTAAGAATGGTGTGGGTGTAGGAAATCGGGGTTGCAATGCACTTTAGCTTGTGGCCAGTGATATGGGCAAGCTTGCCTCAATACTGTTTAATTGCAAAGTGACTGTGAGGAAGTGAGTGAATTTGACCCTGATATTCTGGAAGGTCTGGAAACGAAATGCAGGTCAACGATGGTGACGATGAAACAGAAATTCCCGAACGTGGAGAAGATGATGATGAAGAAGAAAAAAATTAACACTTTTGTTCTTTAAATTATTAAAGATTTATAGATTCTACTGCAATACAATTTAAATCGTAAAAAATGCTGCTGAATAAAGATAAAATTAGAATATATTTACTCGTTTTACTTCTACTTTACTTTAAATAAATTAAGATAACTCTAAAATATATAATAATATGATAAATATAATATATTATCCAATATCTAAAACCTTTAAAGATATAATATTTAGTTATTTTTTGAACTTAAATCTACTTTTAATAAATTAAGGTATACAATAAGTATTTCATTTACTTAAGGTGAGGTGGGCGCCAAAAGCAGATGTTTTCACGCTATAAAAGTGCAATTTTTGTCATTAAAAACTACGAATTCAAATTTTTTTAAATTCATTATGAAAGTAAAGATTTTTCTTAGTGATACATTATGGTGGCCAAAACACGATTGACACATTTTGGCTCGATAGAAAAAGATTGCAGTTTCCTCAAAATCTACAATTTTAGGTACGTCCACTAAATCTAAAAGCAGTTTCATTCGAATGTAATGAAATCAATTTCAATTAAATTCAGGCTATGGCTTCACCAGTGTAAGTGAATTATGGGTTTATTTTTCAATAAAAGAGAAATAAATATTAAAAAGAAATATCAAATAAATATTGTGCGATTAAATAGCGCGGGCCGACCAATGACACCATATAAAGTGTGAAAAATCTTATTTCGGCGCCCACTTCACCAGTGAGTATATTAAAATATGTAAAATGTTATTAATAAAAATGTGTTCATCCATAAATAATACAAATTAGGTATTCAAAGTTCAAAGTAGTATTCACAGATAGTCACGGTTGACCTTGCATTACAGTAAGCCTCTATAAAAGCCGAGAAGCCGGGCTTGCCCTATCAAACTGCTCAATCAATAATATCAACTAATAAAATATCTCGGCAAACTGTTTCAAACTATTTGAAATTTCCCGCGCGCTCTAGCCTTATTATGTAACGTTAACACTTGGCAGTTTGCTTTCAATTCGAAATACACTGATTCGTGTTCTCTCTGTCTCAAAGCGATTCAATTCTCATCAAAATTAATTAAAGCAAGGAGTTGAGTTGAGCGATTAGTCGTCTCTTTCGCACGCGTGGGCTTTTTACCATCCTTTCGAAAAGACGATCGCTCCCTTTCTAATCTGTGGCAAAATGTTCTAAAATGAAATATAACTACGATTGTTTATATAGCAATTAGTTTTGAGTAATAAACCGAGCTTTCGGTATGAAGTTAGACGAGCGCGAGGGCGCGCGGGAGATACGTTTGCAAGTTGACTTCACATTTCAATGTTTACTCTGTGTGTTTACTTCAGTGAATGAATATTGCGAGTTGAAAATTTACGTTTTTTTTTTCAAAGATTTTTAGTGAAAATGGAGGATAATAGTGTTCTTTGTGATGAATTGAAGTGTGCTAAAGTTAGGACCGGCGAGGAAAAGGTAAAATATTTAAACTTTGTTTAGAAAACCAACATTTTACGCGGACATAATGAAATATTTCCTAAAGAAAGACAGACAATTCGATTTAGAATATAAATATTTATTTTTTTTAATTTTGTACAGAGTTTATATTTTGTTCATGTTTTTCTTTTGTTCTTGTATTGTATTGTACGTAAATATCTTTTTGTTTCACTCAAGCAAACCCAAACGGCTTTTTTCAAAGCCACCGAAGGTATGCCATTGCTGATATGTCATACAATCTATCAAGCAGTAGAATGCCTTCTGTGTATTTAAACACGTCCTCGACAGCACTGAATATGAAACTGAAGATTGGAGACAGATCAAGATTGGTGTATTTTTATAAAACTGCTAAAAACAACAAAACCATATCTTGGGCTTGCCCTAGTTTGGTGCCCTAGCTTCGCCACTGCGTATAGCTGAGCGCTACACGCTCAACGCCCTCTATCGCAAAAACGGTTGAGCCAAAGATATTTTATAGTTTCAAATACCGTATTGCTAACACACCGCACCGTTCATAGTGACGCCAGTGTTTGTTTCAAGTGTGCGTGAGTACCACGTGACGCGCATATCTTACGTACCATACCTGCATTAATGTGCGTGACTTCGGTAATAATAGCGCGAATTGATTACCCAAAAATATGGGAGATTTTATATTTCATTCATATTGACGTACGTATTGATTCTACGAATATAAAATGTGTGTGCGAGAAGTGTGCATTTGTGTGCATGTGTGTATGGGGATATGATTGATTATGTGTTTTATGTAGGTGCGAACATCGCACTAAAATATTGAAGATAAATAATAAAGCCTATAATTAATGTAACAGTTAAAAAGAAATAAAAAAAGCACCGTAGATATTTATGAATCTGTCTTTCTCGCTCTCGTAAATGACGGTTCTTAGTGACTAAAATTATAAAAGCACAGGAAAGTGCGATTCCGTGTTGCCAGATGTTATTCAACCCTACGCCTTTAGATAGTTTAACTCTATAGGTTAGTTAAAACCTGTAAAATCAGACGGTTTAAAATCCCTACACAGATAACCTTTCCGCTTGAACATGACGTTAAAAAATGGTAAAAACATTTCGTAGGCCAGACAACATACAAAATACACCAGAAAATTGTATGCGTCGTTATAAAAAGTGATGTGCTTATCCTTATCTTTTTTCCAAGAGTAATTTTTACATGATTTCACAGCACAAACAGTCATTTTGCGAAATTAAAAACACCGGTGCGTGACGTATGTTCGTAGTGAACATCGCTGGCGTAATGGCAGAACGATCGAACTAATACACCAGTATTGGCGCCTTTTATATGTAAGCGTTTTAGGCGTTTTAAAATCTTTGGGTTGAGCGTATGAAAAAATGTTTTATGTAAAATTTTTCGCAAATTTTATGTTCTACAATATTTATAATAGATGTTAACATCATTGGAGCAATAGAAACCGAGATAGTCTCCAAAAACTGTTTGTTTTTACCTTTGACCTTGAATAACTTACAACGCAGACACTATATTTTATGAGACTTTTGAGACAACTTTTAGAACGCTAAAATGAGGTATATACGGAAATTCAGCTAATTATCTCTCATTCCGTGGTTTACCCCTCTTTAAGCTGTGACTAGACTACACTGATAAACACTGGTACTGGTACTCCCGGGAGTACGCAAGCCGGTAGGTATATAACACGAGACCTTGAGCGAGTGACGGAGCCCTGCTACCGCTTTATGCTTGTAGTTCAAAAGTTTTCCGTTATTGTAATAACTTAATGTTTAATTGCAATAAAGAGTTAACTAGATATATATCTTTCTTACAAACGAAGTTTTGGTCATTTACCTACTGTAGTTATATAAATAAAGCAATATAATAAAATCATCATAAATATATCGAAGACATTTGAAACACCCACACACATTGGGGCGCCGCGGTGTATACCTCCTTGCTCTAAAACTCTCAGAAATTAGAAGAGGCCTGTGTGATGAACATATACTGTAAACTTTAATTTGCTTTAGAGTAAATGCGTACCTATTAAGCAGGATGCCTTTAACCGAGGCGATATCAGACTTTAGATTGTCTAGTTGATAGCGTATGGCGTTCTGTTGTGCGGTAGACTGGATCTCCGTACGCAATGACGTCACGCTCGTATTTAGAACGTCGAGGGACTTGCGAAGTTCTTCTATGCACTCCGCGGTGCTCTTCTGTTTGGGCTCCTCGACGAAAATTAGCTGTTTGATGCAGTTCTGTGGACAATTAGATAACGCTTTAAGTTATACCTTTTAAATATTATGATTTATAGATAGACAAAAAGAGAGTATAGTTGTGTAACCACAGAAATTGTAATAATAAGACAATATTATTACCAGTTCTGTGGGTGTAACTCTACGATCACATACTCTATACTCTCATGACAGATTTCATGACGCACATGAAATCTGACGTCTGTCCCCAGACGGGTAGGCAGATACCTCCACCTCGCATGCATCTTCTACATCCATACATCTACGCGTAAATGCCTGTTGGTTAACGGTACTATTAATTTGGCTTGTCTTCAATATAGTGCATTGGGGTAAGATCGGTGATGGGGTAAGACCGTAAAATTCAAATTCCCGGTGAATTATATTTTTGAAAGCTAGCAATATGGTACAATACTCCATTTTATCCTGCACCGACCCCAAGTTTCAGCCAGTCGCTCCGAGAAGTAGGGCGTGTGCTGCGCATTATTTTATAAAACAAGGTAATTTTTCTATTTTTTTCGTCCGTCCGGTCTTTCCCTATTACTTTTATTTGCGATTTTTAGCGACGTCCGGTCTTTCCCCTTGATGGCTAATTCTTCAACATGCATACAAAAAATTATGCCTTGTCTTCGCACACGTTTTAAGCAGAAACTGTTGAGTTTTGAAAAGTAAAACTTCTTATAGCTAAATTACGTGTAACCATTAACGATTTGCGCCATGTTTCAGAAATCTGACGTATATGGATGTCGAGAAAATAAATTTTTTACCCGACTCCTTTAACTAGTCGAAAATCGTCCGGTATTACCCCAACGCTCCATACATCCCCAATTTGGTCCATAAACTTTAGTGTATTTCGTCTCTTGCCGTCCTCGCTACTAACTTTTGCAACATATATTTGTTTTGTAAGTCTTTCTTAATTTATGATTTCTAGGTTTGCAAACCAACGACGTATTCTCGGTCACAACTTTCAAATCACACATCACACAATTTTCCACCCTATCCTTCAGAGTCAAACCTAACATACTCCTTAATGAACGCATTTCTACAGCATTAATTAATCTCTCATGAAGCATGACTGTCATGTAAACGTTCTGTCGCACTCAACTTTCCCTGTTATACAGTACCGTCTTTACCATAAGGGCACACGGGGCCCGTGCCCAGGGGCATCGTCACGGGGCCCCCCGTTCAGAAGGCATCGGCCTTATTCGCTTACGCTATACAATATTTTTTCTATTTTAGGAAAATATAACCCGACAAAAAAATTAAAGAGTAAATGAGGGCGTTGTTAGTAACTATCTGGCAACCCTGAGCAGTGACTATCCACACATTGACGAGTTAGCCAGAAAAAGCATTTACTGATTTCCTAGTTCCTAGGTATAAAATATGTAGTTCCGTGTTTCGCCGCCATCCAAACGTTTTTCATCCAAATGTTTTTGTACAGTCGCCTTACTTATAGTATGGATTTTTTTTTTAAATTTTCGGATATCTATGTGTTTTTATAATCTATGAAATAAAAATATCATTTCGTACGGCTTAATAAATATAACACTTCAAAATATTTAACGGCCAATGATTTATTTAATATGTGATAATTTTCAACCACTAATATTAGATTTTATAGCAAATAATTGTTACGATCCTTATTTTAGGACAAGTGAAATCTAAATTTTAATGTAATAAATAAAAAGAATACACGTGTTGAAGTTTTACAGAATATTTTCTTTTTTTGAAAGAAAGTTTAGGAAAGAAACATTAAAGTTTACATTTTCCTAAGAAATTGTCGTCCCCGCTATGAAATCTGTCAAATATTTTTGGCAGAAAAAGTCGTGGATGTCCTCATTAATTACGTATTACTTGCTATTTTTACCAATTAACTATAATAAATATAAGATCATAGCAGAAAATGTCATATTCTTGTGTACCCAAGGGCCCCGGTATGACCAAAGAAGGCATCGCTGTTTTACTATTGTGAATTTTATGAAATTAAACTTTATTGACACAATAGAGTGAAGAGCTCCATTCAATTTATGTCCTGCAGTCCCTATTCTTGTTCAATATAATATTATAATACTAGATTTTTATTTAAAAATCTTTATTTATTGCAGAGAAATGTCCTTTAGATTGTTTACCCTGCGACCTTGTGGTCGCTAAGCTGAGAATCTAAGCAGGTGCTATGACAACGTCGTCACGTCGTCGTCGATACGCTAATCGAAGTCTGTCGTAAGAGACACCTGCGCTTTCAAGTCTGCTGCTAAACACAGCCCTTCCCACAGATGGTCTCATAGGGAGATATTTGCCATAGTTACTACGCTTGGTATGCCAACCATAGTTTGAATTTTTTTTAAGTGTTATTGGAAGATAACGCTGTCAATTTCCTGCTTTTTTCCTCTCTATCGCTTCTTACGAGACGATATGATACACTACTTGAGACACACGTAAGTGAATGCCAAATAGAACTTGAGGCTTTTGATGGCTGTCGGAATAAACATTTGTAGACTTCTGATCGTCGTAAGAAAAATAAATAATAACCGGAAATGTGCATTGTTTTTATATAATTAAAAAATTAATCTTGGTGTGGTAGTAATGTGTTCATTGACATACATAACGTTAATGATTTAACCTTACTATATCAGTTTGCTTACAACAAAATATGAGCACATAAAGCAACAATCTTGTATTGATAAGGAACAATATGTGCAAAAGTTGACCTTGGATGATCACTGGCTGTTTAGGACGGTCAAGCGACTACGTTTACGAATTCATGAATCCATTCGTTACTATACTTTTGTGTGTTCACAGACGACCCAATGTCGACTCAAGTCAATATTAATACATGACAGAAAAAACGAGCCGTAGTAGCTTGAGGACGAAGGAAGTGCTTTGCTTATATCAATATATCACGTTATATAATATCACATTCTGGTGTCGGGTCAAGTTAATTTTTTTAAGACTGGCTTCGGAACTTTTTTTAAATTATTTTAATTAAAGCACATAATCTAATGATTGAGGATTACAGATCACGAAAATAGAAATTTGTTTGCCCAAACCCACCATTCTATATTGACGTAAAGAGCTCGAAACAAGTTATGTTAATAGCGTAAGCGATATTCGTGAATAAAGAACTAAATAATGAGTTGAACACAATAATTTTATATAATACAAAGTAATTTATGCTTTTTACAATTGGTTCGGAGAAAAACCTCTGGCGTGTTGTGAGAACCAGCAAGAAACCCAGCGGGACAATTAACTATTCTAAATTATTTACAATGTTGTACAATTGAATATAAAACAGGGGTGACAACGTATCTCCATTTTATTTATTAATTGAGGTTAAATGTGGATGTCCATGGGCTACATCATCCACTTACCATCAGATGGACTGTTGACTCGTTTGTCACCCACATTCTACTTAAAAAAAAAACATTTACGAGACGGTGGGGCTTCTTTTCTGCCTATAACGTTGCCAGACGTCCGGATAAAGCCGGACATAGTAAGGCTTTTTGGTTGCGTGTCCGGCCAAATTAGACGGTGTCCGGCTTTTGTTAGGCTTTTTAAATTTGACCATTGCTTTACATTTTTCATGTATTTACATACATACTATATCGACGAATATCGAATGATTAATAATAAAGAAGACTAATTTATTCAATTATTGTTATTTCGATAGCACTTAAGAAGATTTTACTGTAAATGATAAAAAACATTGCATTGTTTCACTTTATTACTCAGACAAAAATTAAGGATGTACGGTCTTTTTACCAAAATGTCCGGCTAAGCTCGCTGGTCTGTCCGACTTTTCGGTTTTAAGACCTGGTAACCCTATCTGCCTAGGAGTCTGCTTGGTTATGTACCACTTTCTTACCTACTTCTGCCCCGATAAATAGCTATGCGTACACTGATGCGTTCCGGTCTGAAGGGTATAGAGAGCTGGCTTTCAGGCTGAGAGGCACTCTACCTAAGCCCTCAGAGGTGACAACGCATCTGTGGCCTTTTTTGTTTATATTGGTTGCTGTGTCCATAGGCTGCAAAGCTACTCATCACGTGAACTGTTAATTAATTTGTCGCTTCCATTTTATAATGTCCTCCAGATCGAATTTCGATCACGGCGGCTTGCCTGAACGGAGACTAGCCATCGGCGTAAGATTATAGTGCCCAAGTGTATGTATACATGGGAATGATGTGTACAGGTGCACTCCCTATTCCCTCACTCCCATAGTCCGATGGGACGGTAAACCGACACGACTGAAGGGAGATGAGACGCAGGACCAACGGCTTTACATGCTTTCCGAGGCACGGGGATGAAACACCGCACTCTTCCTGACTCCGGGCAACTACTGAGAATTCTTGACGGAGAAGCTTACTAATATATTCAGTTTTATATAAAAGCAGAATAGTACCAAACACCTCATTTCAAAGATTTAAACAATCATGTATTTTTTAATATTATAATACCTGTTTATACATATTTTGTTTAGTAAAATTATTATGCTTCATGATACATAGACTGCATATTTATCTGGAAATTTCTTGTAAAAGCGTACACAGTGCCCGATAAATGATCAATTTATTCGTATCACTGCGATGTTCTTTTTAAAAGATAGGGTGACAAACGAGCACATAGTTCACCTGATGGTAAGTGATTGCTGTGACCCATAGACATCTACATCTATTCTCAATTACGAATCAAAATACAGACGCGTTGTGACCCCTGAGGACTAAGATGGAATGCCTCGTTTCTAGTAAAATGGGTCACCATACGAAACACAACAGCGTTAAGCTACTATTTCACGCTGGTATTCTGTGAGAGCGTGGTTTTCCCCGGTCGAGCCGACCCATTCGTACTACAAATATACTACTAATATAGTTGCAGCATGACTCTACCACGTATAATTATCAAATATTGGTATACTAGGCTGTGAATTGGGACAAAGTGAATTGTGGTGAAAGATGATTATACAATGACGTAAGAAAGAAGCTTCGCAACTACGCGCTACAAATTACGCCAT